GCAACGACCTGCAGAACGATAAGGCCGCGTGATGTTTATGCGCGCAAACGGCAAAGCGCATAGGCTTCACTCGCCCAAGGCCAAGCAGTATCCAGCGCGACTATTGTGTGTGTGTGTAGCATGCTGAAACATGCTGAAACAATGGTCGGTTGAGAGCCTGACGTTGCGCATAGAACATTATACGTGCAAAAGTATGCGCGCAAACAGTACAGTCTTGACACAGCTGTCGGCCAAAACAGAACCTGAAGAGTGTAAAATAGTGTAAATACCTCACAGCGCTAATCGACAAAGAACGCTCAAGCGACAACACCGTACGCGCGGCCCATGACTGCTGGCGCTTCATTGTCAGAAGCGGCGCTTGGTCGCCCTTCACTGCTGCAAGGGGCGGTTTGTTACCCTTCACTGTCAGAAGCGGCGGTTGTTGTCACTTCACTATCAGAAGCGGGCGCCAGCACCGAGCACCGGTACGCCAGCTCACGGCGCACAGCACCGGTATACCCAGCACCCAGCACCAGCACCCGGCACCCTGTCTCCACCACGCGCACAGCCAGCACCCAGCACCGGCGCCCACACCCAGCACAGCACCACAGCCCGCACCAGCACCCGGCACCGGCGCCCAGCACCGACCCTGTTTCCACCACGCGCACAGCCAGCTCATAGCACCCAGCACCAGCACCACAGCCAGCACCAGCACCCGGCACCGGCGCTCGAAAGCGCGCACACAGCTCATTGTCAAATGAAATGATAAGAACCCCATAGCTGTCGCTATCTGGGGGACAAAACAATCATCTCCACCAGACAGCGCCAGCACCAGCAACCTGTCTCCACCACGTGCACAGCCAGCTCACAGCACCCGCGCCAGCACCGGCGCCCCCAGCACCAGCAACCTACAACCTATCTCCTCCACGCGCGCAGCCAGGTCACAGCACCAGCACCAGCACCCAGCACCAGCAACCTGTCTCCACCACCAGCACCAGCGGTGGAGACAGGCTGGTGCTGGCGCTGTGAGCTGGCTGCGCACGCAGTGGAGACAGGTTGGCGGCGCCGGTGCTGGTGCTGGGCGCCGGGCGCTGTGAGCTGGGTCGCTGGCGCCGGCGCTGGTGCTGTGAGCTGGCTGTGCACGTGGTGCTGTGCAACCTGTCTCGAAAGTGCTCGCGGGCAACTCATTGCTATTTGAAGTATGAACTCCATAGCTTTGCTATCTGGGGAAAATGCTTTAAAGAGATTTTAAATGCAAAAATATGAAAGCACATCCACGAGTACCAATTCAAACACAGCTATAGAATAAGAGGAGTGAATCACAAATGTACATAAGCATACATTTGTTACACCTTTTTTTTGGGGGGTTCTTTGCAGGTCATCACAATGTGCAAAAATGTGTGGAATTCTGCGAGTTCAAAACGTGCGGGAATGTGCGAAGATATGCGGAAATGTGTAGAATGTGCAAAAACGTGTAAAGATGTGCGGAAATGCGCGAATTTAAATATGCAAAAATGTACATAAATATGCAAGCAAGTGCAAAATTCTGAATTTCAATCAACTCTTTGTGAACTATACACATGTAAATATATATATATATGACATATGATGTTTTTGTCCTTGATCCCAAACATGTACCAGACACTACGCGCATCAAACTCAGTCCACTCTCATCTTGGCTGGAAGTCAATTGCAGCTGGAAGTCAGCTGGAATTCTCCAAACAAAGAAAACACAGAGCGCAGCCTCATCAAACAAATGTTGAACTCATGTGAAAACTGAGCGACGTTTTCCAAGCTGCTAAATGCCATGTGCAAGGACCAGCGACAGCAACAGCAAATAAAAGGAAACAACATATAAACACATTTAAAACCACTTAAGCACACATGTTCAACATATTTTCACATATTTTCACTACCCTAATTTTCTGAAGCCTATCTGATCTAGACCTCCCTGATCTAGGCCGCGATTCCGTGTTGGGGAATATATATACATACACACACACCCACATATAATTACATTCAACTCGAAAGTGTGCTGCCCAAAAACCCAAAGCGCATTACCACGAGCGTTTCAGATTTGAGTTTGCGTGTCACGCGGTTTTGTGTGAAGTCTCCCTACACAGTTTGGTTTTGTTTACAGTTAAGTCGTGTTAGTTTGCGTGAAACATCATGTTCCATCTGTACTCAAAAAACTATGTTCGTGGAGTTGTCTTTCGAGAATATCCTAGTGCGTAAAGTGAACTAACTGGGCAATTGGCGCCATGCTCTTGCATGTAGCACTTGAGTCAACGACGGTTGCTCCGCGCAAGGCCAACCCGTTTGAATGCTTGCGTCTTCCTGGGTAGGTTGGCTGGGACTCGTTTGCTTAGGCACTTCCAGTGGCGCTAGAGGCTTTAGGATTCTTAGGATTGCACCATCTCGGCCTAGGCTGTCACTTGAATGCTCACAACTTCAACCAGAATTGTTCCTTTTCCAACTATATACAGTACACGGGAATTCACTCAAGATGTTTTGCTAACTATTCACTCTTCCAGCTTTGACGCAGGGCTTTGATTCCAGTCGAATTTTAGGGTCTCACTGAATCATTCAGCCTGTCCTTTTTCTGCCTGTCCTCGTCCTGTCCTCTTCTTTTCCTCTTCTTTTCCTCTTCCTTTCCTCTTCCTTTCCTCCCTGTCCTCCCTCCTCTCTCCGTCACAACACAATGCAACGCAATGCTCAGTGCTACCAACTAGCGCGCGTTGGCCGATGAGTCCCGTCACATGAAGAAGGTGACTCACACGGCGCCTTGACTCACATCAGTCCCACTCCTGAGCTCTTCACGCTCACGTCCGCCAAGGCCATCGCCTATCATGGACAATACCTGAACGTAGCTTCTTGCTGCAGGCTTTCTCAAAGGGCCCCCTTTCTTCCAGCTTCGAAAGATTCATCACGAATCAGTCTCCAAAGTAGCCAACAGCAAACAATCTCAACAACACACGCCACGCGCCGCTTGACTGTGCTAAACTGCTCCGTTGGCCCACCTCAACTGCGGTCAAATCTGAACTGCGTGGCCGACTGCTCAGATTAAGTAGAACTCGCTCGAGACTTGCACGAGCCACGCAATGCCCACATGTTGGTGACCACGGCGCCGTAAACTCCACGACTGTCCGTCACAAGCGCACCAGCGACCTTGCATAGAGCTCGGCTCTGGAACTGAAAGAGGCGCCAAAAGGCTCTGCCAGCAAAGCTCGGGCGCGGAACGCGGCATCGAATCCTCACCTTCAGCGATTGCCGCGCCTCCGCCCTAGTCGAACCATGGCACTGTTCTGGAGGTTTCCCCAACATCCGTGGATTGACCTGTCAGGCCGGTTGAACTGAGATCCATCGGCCCACGTCAAAGCGAACAATTGTTGCCAATGTAAAAGCCTGCCAGAAACCTCAAAATCTCTGAACCACTGCGTGACCGTAGAAAGCCTAGCCAATCTTCGAAGCCTTCACCAGATCATGGGAGCCCGCACCAAAAAGAATTTGCAAGTTCCGCTAGAGCTCAAACCTACAAATTAGGACTGGGCCGACGCTATCTCGCTGGCATGAGAACAAAGCCCATGTTGGGCGCAACTGTCAACAACATGTTGCGCCAAAAACGAGACATTGTAAGCACTGAAGCTTGAACTGTACTTAGGAGCCACTTTTTGCGAACTTAAAAAATAGTTACAAACTTATGATAACTTACAAAAGTGGTCAGAGTTTATTAATTTCTTGCTGAATTTTCATAGTTGGCAAAAATCGCTGAACTAAGCTTTCTTATTTAAAATTGCGAGACCGCCAACACAACTTTTCCCCTTGCCTTTGTATGACGATATGGACTTTGGCTTTCCTTTTCCACCACGCTGGCCTGGAGAAATGGCCTGGCTGGCCGAAAGCAAGACACGGTCCAAGGCGACCACTGCAGATCCGCGAAGTATCCTCAGCCTCAGTGGCCTTTTGCATTGTCGATTGACATTGAGCTGCAGCTGTGTGCAAAACCTTCTTTGCGCTATTCAAGCACACCCGAATTTCGGAAGTCATGAATCCACACCATTCGTACAGTGGGACTGTCTTCCCACCAATACCAAGTGATCCCAGGACGTCTGGTGGCCTTCACCGAACCTTTCCTTATTAAAGAATGCACCTCGAGCTGCACGACAAAAGGGAACCTTTGGAAACTACACCCATTGTATGAAGGGCACGCATGGTCAACCCAAGCTCTATTGAACTGATTGTCTTCGTCAACACGAGCTGCCTTAAGCAGCCTGTACCCACGAAGTTCGTCTTCCCAAAAGTCTTTGATTGTAGGCGCTGAAACGGCTGCAACAACATGGGCCTGGGGTACTTGCACAGCCGATGAAAACGAAGTCCCAACTGCCTGCTCTAGCAATCGGACGGTTCCCATCAGCCTGAGAGGGAGTTCGCCCATCGCTCTTCTCGAAGTTGCGATGTTTTTTCGTCGTCGATCTTCCCGGGCTCCATAGGGGGCTTGCTGCATGTCTGCACAGCCATTGTCCCTATTATGCCAACGCTCCAGCCTTTGGAAAAATCTGGCACTGGAAGCTGTTGTAAGGGTGACGCACGCAAAGCTGCAAGCAACTTTGTCAAGCCTCCATCTCGAACGCACTGCGCTGTATCCAAGCGTCGAACAACTGCGTTGGCCTCACCTTGAAGACGTGATGAAGCCCTTGGAGCGGCGTTTTTGCATTCGGAGTCCTTCAAGCTATGCTCAAATCATCGGCCAGCGATGCTGAAGGCTTCGAAGGACCCCCGTTCCAAGAGGGCACAGCATCATCAGGCATCGAACAAACCCACACCGACGAAAGGTGTCGAATGGCGAGTCGGCTGATGACGCTCAAGTGATTCACATGGCAACTCGATACTAATGCTTATCTTCCTCCTTTCACAAATTAGTTATATATAGTATAGTCTTACATAAATACACAACATGGTTACATAAACGAATTTAACAACATATGCAGGAAAGCACGGGCACCCGTCGAAGTCCAAGGGTCCATCAATGCGATCGTTCACCTCCTTGTGCAAATCTTCGTCTTGCTTTTGCAGGTGTGCTTCCAGCTGAGACGTCCTGAGCAGTGAGCATTTGCAACTCTATGGTAGAACTCTACGGTAAGCATGGTGCTGCTATATCTTGACAGTCTTGCTATATTGCATGTGCAGAAAAAGCGATCAGGTCCTTGTCTCAAAGTCTTCTCGGTGGGTATCCATCTTAGAGTGAATCTGCTGGTGGGTCTCGCTGTGACGGCCTCATCATACCGGCATGGACTGCAGTGGCACTAAACTTTTGTCCTATCAGCTCAGAGATGCTGGCACAGTGCCAGGGTCGCAGTTGTCTACAGTTTTACACAGCGAAAGATGATTATGTGTATATATATATATAGTGTTTCTATTTTGTGAACAACAAAACGGTAAAATTGCTACAGCGAGACCTGAACGTCCGAAATCATCTAATTGAAATGTTTCGCCAGCACTCAGAACACTGAATCCCTATGCTCGACTGACAAAATCTGATCATTACAGTGAGGCTTGTCTTCCCAGATTAATTCATAATACTGACGATTCTGGCAATGGCTCGTAGCACAGGGCGCTGTGCCGCTGCATAGTGTACCAGTACAATATTTATGATAGATGGATGGTGGATGGATGGATGGATGGATGGATGGATGGATGGATGGATGGATAGCTAGATCGATAGATAGATAGATAGGTAGGTAGATAGGTAGATAGATAATAGATAGATAGATAGATAGATAGATAGGTAGATAGGTAGATAGGTAGATAGGTAGATAGGTAGATAGGTAGATAGATAGATAGATAGATAGTTGACATCCCTAGCCTTACTATTGAAGTGACAATATGGAAGGCCAGGAAGCCAAGCGAAATGCCTGTGAAAGTGCAAAATGGGAAGTGAAGACTGTCAACATCTGTCAATTTGAAGGTAACACCTGAACTCACTCCAAACTTCATACACGACAGCAAAAGTCCAAGACACCCAAGGCGTTCTCCAGATCCTCACGAACATCATCAAAACTCAGCTCAATTTTTCAAACAACTGATGTGCTTGCAAAGCTGTGGCCAACAGTTCAAAGGTGCAAAGGGGTACACAGCCGAACGCCGCACCTTGCAGTGCTGCACACGTTCGTCCAAACGCTGCGAGACAATCTGGTGCGTGTCATCCACATAGCCTGGGATCAGGGTCAAAGCAACTTGGCAATGTAGGAACATGCCGGAATCAAATTGTGTTCAAAGGCCGTCAAATATGTCTACGCAACTTGATCAAATCTTGTGCAAAGTATTTTCATGTTCCATGTGACTCGCAACAATCCTTCACTACCAAGGTTCGCTGAATGTTTGAAGCATTGGCGTCCACCCTCTCGGCCAAAGTTTTAAGCTGCTCGCGCAAGCTTCCCACATCTTCATCAACCTTGCGTCGCCTGCTGTCAACCTCCAAACGGAGGGCTGATGCCATATCCCTTACAGTCTTGATAGAGGAATCGATGTCGTCGTTCATGTCATTCCACGCAGTGACGTCGGTTTTCGCTTCGAGTTTTGCTTGAGTGTTTTGTGCATGTTCACCGATGTCCTCTGAAAGCTGCTGGCAGCGTTCGTGAACCTCCTGTAAACTTTGGGAGACATCCTCCATCCAGGCATCGTGCGCTTTCAATGCCTCTTGCATGTCACCCATGTCCAATCGGATTGTGGAAATCTCAGCGGTGACCGTCGCCTCAGAAATGTTCAAGCATTGTTTCAAGTTCTATTTATATAACATTGCAATTTCGAGTATTGTTTGAACATACTAGCTTCATCATAGAATCTTGTTGGCAATACCAGTACTGTTTTCCCATTATGTGGCTGGATTCGTCAATAGGCACCTCCACGCGCTGCCGAGATGTGATAATGGAATGCGTCGAATCCACTCGTGCACGCATCTCGTCCAAATCCACATTCACGGCATCCATGGCAGCCTCAGAAATTGTGTGGCAGAAATGATCAGACATGGGTACTGAAACGTATTGCCTTTTCCTTTGCAGCTCAGCTGCGGTAAAATCCTCCATATCCCTCTCGCAAGCCAATACAATTCGCTTAACTTGGGAAGTGTCGTTCTTGGTGCCGTTCAACAAGTCCTCAGTCATACTCTCAGCAAGCATGCTTGAAAAGCGGTGAGACGGCGACTACAATGAATCCACCCTATTAAACGAACGTCTTTTGAGCACTTCAATATGGTGGAGTTCGTGGGCATCAAGGGGAGTGGCAGGAAGCTGAGAGAAATGGCAGGAAGCTTCTCGTGTTGGCAAATCAATCGGAGATCCTACATCGACTTCTACCAGAGCGCTCGGCATCGTCAGTGGCGGAAGGTGGTGGGAGCTGGAGGGAAGTGAAGGACCAATGGATAGTGATCCAACGGCGGCTCTGCTTTCAGAGGCGACAAGCCTTTTGGAGACTTTGAAGGCGATAAAGGCCATCGAAATCAAACAGGCGGTGGTGGTCATGGGACAGGAGGCTCATCAAGGAGAATGGGTACTGTTGGACGGTGGGTTACTCACGCACTGTGGAAGAATCAGTGATACTGTACAAGCACTCAGGGCATCTGAGGTTGGTGTCGCTTCAAGAGGTGGGAACGATCATACCGCTCAACACCTTGGTGCAGAAGGGCTACAAGATTGAGTGGAAAAAGGAAGGGCGCACCATTAAGCATGCGATTTTGGGGCCGATTCGCTTGACGTGAAGCACTGGACACGCTCAGGGTCGGAGGAACAGCGTCAACGGTGACTTGGTGACTGAAGCATTTTCCAGGAGTGCCGGAGTCGGGATCTTTCTCACATGTTAGGACTATACGAAGTGGACATGTCGGTGGAACACTCACATGAGATCTCAAAGTGAAAAAATTGTGGTTGGAAGGGGAATTGATGGGTCCACATCCTCAGATCTCAATTTAAAGCGCATCATCCGGCAGCGTGGAGTTATTTGCGGCACCTGGCAGAACATGGAAAGCTCAAAGCAGTGATAGGCGGTCCGCCGCACCGCACTGTGAGCCGCCCTCGGAACCGCGCTCCTCCGGCGGATTGATGCGCAGGGGCTCGTGTGCAATCTGTAGACCTGTCAAGAGCGGGGCAGAAGTCTCTTTAGCCATCCACGGCACTCCTGGGAACGAGGCTCCCGAGCAACAGGAGGTCGAAACAAGAAAGATCAAAAGTGGAGAAGCAATAGGAGTAAGGTAGAGTTGACTTTAGACTTTAGCCCGAGGGGCTGCACAGGGTTGAATTCCAGTGCACGTGCAGCCAAAGAGCCATTGCCGCGGATAGCAGCCACGCGGCTTCCACTGTCGTTTGGTCCCTGGGAGTCATCGCGATGGGTGGTGGGTCCGCCACCTTGGTCGAGCGGAGGGGGAATCTGTTTTCCCAATTCACCTCCTTTGAGCGCTGAGCGGCATACAGTGGCATAACCTGTGAGTGGCTCAAGGCAGTGATCCATGATGAGTGGACGATGGGGGCCAGTGGACAGGATATGCTCTCTTTCCACGATAAGATTCAGGCTCAGTGGAAGCTAGCCTCGGCTGAGAAAGATCGAGAAGCACTTGGAACTGCATCATTGTCTTCAGGGAGCTGGGGTGCAGGGCATGAGACAAGGGTGGCAGGCGCAAAGGCTTCGGGTGCCGCGGCGGCAAGAGCTGAAGCAGAAGAAGGGGGCTTGACAGCAAAGACATCAACAATGAGCATCCCGCTGGGTCCAGACCTTCTGATGGTCTTTCCTCCTAAAATGCACACCCTGCTTATGCGTCAGGAAGAGATTGCTGAAGGGAGTGCTTTGAGGGCGGAGTCGGCATGGCCAACTACACCACGGTCGGAGAGCGAAGGTAGTCTTGATTTGGTCCAACAGTGACCTCTTTTTTGGGGGGAGTGAGGATCATAGAGTGGCATGTACAATGGTATGATTTGTGATGTACAGAATTCAACTGAGACCCTTCTCCTTCAGCTCTCCAATGTCATACTTCACCGTGTCCACATCCTGTGCTAAGCTTTCCAAACCTGGTACGGTGTCGGCACCTGCACGCTGAGAGCCCAAGAAGGAAATCTTCTTCTCCACATCCTGGATAAAAGTGGTGATCAAAAGAGATCCGACTCAAAAGAGATCCAAAAAACAAAGCATGACTCAGATGAGCGCATGGCCTGGGTCAGCTGCTGGATTTGTGCAGAAACTTGAGATTCAAAGTCACTCATCCGATTTGTCATCTTCTTCAGGAGTTGGCTGTCACCCTTCGTACCCTGGCCATGTCGCCAAGCTTGTGCATAGAATTTAGATAGACTTGTTCTGTCGATTAGTTGATGCTCACCTAAATGCCTCGACTCCATCCTTTTCCCATTTCCTGCCCTTGCCTTCGGTTCACCTTCACCACTACCCAAGTCAGAGAGCACCCGGGCCTGCAGAAAATCTGCAGAAATGTCAATCAATCGCTTGGTGTGGTGCAAGTGGCAAAGAACATGTCTTTAAAGTCGGGAGTGCGAAGCACCTCAAGCTTCTTGAAGCGTTCGTTCACGTCCTGTCAATGTCTGACCCTGATGAATCACGCCAGTAGTTCAAGTTCTTCTATAATCTTCTATCTACATAGCACTGTATGGATTTGAATGGCTTGGTCGGAATTGTGCAACTCCCCCTGTTCTTGCATTGAAACGTGAAGGTTTGTGCTTCTTGTAACCAAACCAAGCGGAATGGTACAGTATTAGCAAAGGAGGTGCGTCCTGGGTTAGGGCATCGGTTTTCTTGTGCAGAGCCGACTGCATCTCGCGAGACTCCTGCTGTTTCAAACGCAGAAAAGAGAGACGGAAAGAGGCGTCAAACAAGGCAAAAGGAAGGCAGAATAATGGGAAGAAGGCGGAATGATGCTAGCACCTCAAACAGCTGCAAAGCAAAGCAAAGCAAAGCTAGCACAAGGAAACTGTGCGAATGACTGAAGACTGCATGGTCTCCCCAGTCCTGCGTCACCACTTCGGCAGCGTACTTCTTCACATCGCCCAAGACTTGTGATAAATCCGCAGTTGAGGCATCTTGAAGAGTTGAGAACATGGTGCCAGTGTCCTTCAGAACTTCACGAACCTGCTCACACTCGGAGCCGATGTCTGCCAGACTCATCTTGGCGCACACTTTGCTGACCAGCGAAAGTATGTTCTCATTGTGCCTCTCCAGTGGCTGACACGTGAGCAAAAGCGCCCACGTTTGTCACAAGCCAAAACACAATTTGATTCTTCTCGAATTCAATTCAAGTCTTGCAGCAAGTGCAGCAAGTGGCCTGAAGAACAATGCATTTGTGGTTTGACTCGGGGTTCAGATTGCATCTTCGTTTCGAGCCTGTGACATGCCTGCATGGTCTCAATTAGAAGCTTCTGATTGGCTAACATGGCGAAAGCTTTGCTGATCGCAAACCTTCTGCAGGTCTTCTGCAGTTGGAAGCGGGACAGTCGGTCTGAGCCTCTCTGCAAGAATCCTGCGCACCCTACTGTATAGTATACAGAGCAACCCAGTGCCTCCAAGCTACAAATGCACAAGTCGTTGCAACCACTAGGACATACATTGCAACCTGACAGCACATAGCCACAAAGTGCATTTGCCCAGGACCTGGATATATTATATATATATAGTGTGTGTGTGTGCTTAACAAAAACAACTCTCTAGGGATAAAATGACACACCACCATTTGAGAGCTTGGAGCTTGGTTCAAAACATGGTAGCCCAAGATTTGTCCTTGAGTCCTTGGTCGAAATGACAAATGTCCAGTGACGAACAGGGCAAAAACAATCCCATCCCTTACTTTCTTTCTCACTCTAAAGCGTGACAAGCTGTTCACGGTCTGTTACCGTTCATAGATGAGCCGCTCAAGCCCAGCAAGCGATCTTGTCTGGCAAGTTGGGAGCGCCGTCAGGCCCCGCCCAACTGAATGGATGCCGGACCCCTGAGAGCCGTTGTTAATGCGTTGTTATTTTTCATTGGTTTTCTGCCTCTTTGGCTTGTCCTTCTTAGGGGGAGTATGAGTAGGCCGTGGTACCGGTGATAAGGTAGAAATAGGTAGAATGTACAAGAGTACATCCGGGTGTTTTTTTAGCTTCTCCAGACATTAAGCGAATATTTCGGACATGGCAGTTAGATGGTGGCACAGTTCACCTCAATGAACCTGGTGGACCACAAGCTCAAGTTATCAAGCAAATCCCAAAACAATTATCCAAACAGAGCTCAAAACCCGTTTTCTGACCCAACATGGCTGCTGGCTGCTCCCAGAGCAAAAAGACAGGTCCGCATGATTGCTTCTCAAGGAACCTCGTTGCTGCCCACGGTCTAGACCCAACCACTCTATATACAGGCCCCTAGCCGCAGCTCCAAGAAGAAATGTCAACCGAATTGTCTGAAGACTTGGTTGTCTATTCTAGAGAGCTGTCAACTGTCTGAAGCATTGAATAATTCAATTGGTGAGTTGCCTTGCGCCGTGGCAACACTCACTCCAACTACACACTGTGGTCGTGCAACAGAACCAAGTTGTGTGGTTATACTTACACGTGGCAGCGACGGACCCTTTCCTAGCTCGAGCCCCATGGTCTTGAGTCGAAAACGATCGGCCGCCGCACCGACGGGGCACGCACAGTTCCACACAACCGCCCTATGGTGTCGGTGCGCGCTTGGCCTTTTGAACGTGGCGCCTTTTGTGCTCTGCAGCTTCCAGCCGCAACTGCCTCGCGTCCTCTGTGTCCACGAGGCTCCATGTGCCTTCTTGAAGCACTTGCAAGAGCACTCCATTGTCGGCCCACTTCGTGAATCCGTCGCTCACCATCTCAGTCTCCTTCCCTGGCATCCAGCGGATGAAGTTCTCGCTCCCCCCTCCACCAGGGCCTCCCTGAGGACTGCCGCATCGATCAAGATCACTGGTCATGCTCTAGGAGAGCACGTCATAGCCCGTCTTGGCGTCGATCACCATGCAGGTAGTGCTTTCAGTGGCTCCCGTGAAGTCGGAGTACTGGACCTCCGCGAGAACCGCCCGGATGAAGTCCCCATGCTCGAAGCTCTCCGCGGCCATTGAGGCGTCAGCTCCCCCACGACGATCGTCTCCTGCTCGTCCTGGTCGAGGCAGTACTGCTCGGCCTTGTCCAGAGTGGCCATTCGCCCGCTTCCCATCGCCTTGGCATGCGTCTTGGGCGTCCTCTTCGGCGATGAACGCTCCACGGCAGGAAGCCCCGCGTCGGGGCGTTGCTGGCTCTCCCCACTGGTTTGCCCGGCTGCGCTGGCTCTCGATGTCCATCTCCAGGGCGCTCTGCGAGTGGCTCAACTGTTCGTCTTCTGACTGCAGGTTGGGGCAGTCGCGGCTCCGGTGAGAGCTGTCGCCGCATACCCTGCAGAAGCCCGTCGCGGTCCGCGACGTGCGAAGGATGAACAGGAGCGTCGACGTCGAAGGCTGTGTCTGAGCCAAAACTCTCGCCCATCAAGACATCATTGTCGATCAAGCCCAGACTGCAGGCCTCTTGGCCCGCCTCCGGTACCTTCCATGGTCCCAAACCCCTTCGAACTCCGCCACCTCCATAATGTAGCGCCCACTAGATGTTTGCTTCAGCCCGTAACCCTTCACTCCCAACTTCTTGGACGTCAACAGGTGGCGCTCGCAGTCAAAATGGATCCGAGCTGAATACAAGCGTGTCTTGAAAGAAGTTCGGGACAGTCCCCCTCCACCACCGAGAACCCTAACACCACCTCGAACTGCACTCCGTAGCGACTGGTGAGCATGTCCCCGCTACCAAACCGGAAATTGTAGACCTTAAACCAACGTTGTTCATTGTTCGCCCTGCCACCTTTTGAGGAGTTGATTCATCCATGCGGCGCCCGTCACCGACTTCAAGCATCTGATGTCCAAAATGACAGCCGTGGCCAATTCCTTCACACGCATGATCGGCCACCCCGCCGATCGGCCCCACCCCACACGGCAGCGTCATACATGCGCACGCGGATGAAGATCTCGGTGAGGCCTCATTAACCGTGCATAGAGACACCAAAAGATCCCACTCATGGCCACCTTCCGACTCTTCAGGTACGGAGGCAATCTTGAGTGAAGAAGAAGCTGGGCCCTTCTTGGCCCGGCACGGCTTTCGCCCATTGCTAGCGTAGCCATCAAAACAGGTTGCGCCTTCGGGCGAGGGCACTCTCGACCCAGCCGATTTCCCCACACTTATGGCAGGCCGTATTCTTGATCTTGTCCACGAGCATCTTCTTGCGCTCCTCCAGCTGGTCACCTTTCTTGTAGTATATTGTCTCAATTTCTTCGCTTCAGCCATCCTCTGCTTGGCCTTACAGTGCATGGCACAGGCTTCTCATTCAACTTATCTTCTTCCAGACTATCCTCTCCGAGCTCGTCCATCTCTGCCGGAGTGGTTGTCTCCTCCACTCGGCCACCAAGGCTTGCCGCGCTCCTCCACGACGTCCTGGATGTAGCCCTGCAGCCCCACTCCGCTGCACCTGCACCTGCGGTGTTCGGTTCCGACGCACCCATCGGGAACCCATGTTCACCCTCCAGCTCGGCCGCGGGCTCCACCATGGCATTGGTTATGGCCTCCTCGGACTCATCGCCTGCACGGGCTCGAACTAAAACCTTGTCTCGACGGGTAAGCCTGGCGTGATCCAGAAGGTGCCCCACATAGAACCTCTCGCCCATCGCTCCAAGGTTGAATCGAGCCCCAAGAGTTGCGCGCGGTAGATGCTACCCCGGGTAATCTAGCTCTCCAACGATTCTCGAGTGAGGGCCATGAGCTTCTTCCTCTGTTGATCGATGCGATGCTTGTCAAGTTGTTTCACCAGGGGGCTTCGTTCCAACACATCGAAGATCTTCTGCGTGCCTCCTGGTCGATTGACATCGCTGTTGTTCAAGCGCTTAACTAGTTGGGCGGCGCGGCCACGTAGTTGCACCATGATCTGTGGCCCAATGTCCTCCAGAATCTGACGCCCTTCACCTCCGAACGCCCGACGCCAATCTCGATAGCTCTCTCCCGCCTTAGCCCGAAAGACTGGCGGATAGGAGCTGCTCACCTTCCCCTTGTTCTGGGCGTTGGTCTTGCCCTCGTCACCAGGTCCCCTCAGCGGTGGGTAGACCTCTCCGGTGGGTTGCCATGACGGTCATAGCCGGGAGAGACCGGTGATTGGGCTGGTGCCCCACGTACATGACCCACGACTCGGTCTCTCTCGTCCCGCATAGGATCCAGCCCCATCCGAATGCCGATCACTAAGAACTATGACCATCCCGTGACTAGCCTGGCCAGAACCCTCCAGCTCCTCCACGACGTAGACCACGACCAACCCTCTCCTGGCATGTGCCAATTGTCGCTGCCAAAGCCACTCACATCCTCCAGTGGATTCCCCCATTCCGAATCGTCCTGCGGATTTACCTCAAAGGCCGTATAGTAAGAGGTCATCCGTCTCCTCGTCGACCGCGACGCTCGAGAACCCCTCAACCACGTCCACCCCAAACCAAGGAACGTGTACCCGCCGTAGCCGAGCTCGAAGTCCCCACGCCAGGCCCCGGATCGCAAACCTCGCTCCGCTGCCACTTAAACGTGGCAGCGACGGACCCTTTCCTAGCTCGAGCCCCACGGTCTTGAGTCGAAAACGATCGGGCGCCGCACCGACGGGGCGTGCACAGTTCCACAGTTATGCAATGTGTTCTTCAAGTCAAATACTTTCTAAACCTGTCTGTCAGGTCTTACAAGTGGTCGTTTCTTTCAGGTCCTCTAGGTTAGATTCACAAACTGGCTATTCCTGCCTTCCCACTGATTTCAGTGCCTTGTTTAGCACGATTGAAGGTGTTTGTTTTGTTCATCCCTACGTCCAACTGTCCTATGTACCCTCAACATTTGGGCGGGGTGCAAGGCTCTTGTGCAGAAAAGGCTTGCTTGAGAACAGGTCTCACTTTGATACCTGTTTCATCGCTTGACAGGCTGCCTTGTCTTCTCAACCAGAATAATAACTCCCAACAAAAAGGCTTCTGCGTAGTAGAATGTCAAATCTACAAGTTTGCTTGCCACAAGTTCATAAGCACAAATGTTTCACTGAGCATTCTGTAGAAAGGTTATCTGTACGGCCAAACACAGACCCGTCTTGGGCGATCCATTCGTTGGGACACACCAACTATCGCCGCTGCTGGCCGGTGGCAATGCGGATCCTTGACATCACCACGGCATCAGGATTTCGCACACCTTCAAGTAGAAACCTCCAAGCTCACGGAACAGCATGATGCATTCTGTCTGCAAATTTGTATCAAAAACATGAGGATTTTCTTTGCAATAGCAACCATTTAGGAATTGGAGGTCTGGCAATCAAGGGTGTGCAGGCCTGTAAAGCTTGAGTTTGAAAGTTTGGACAAGAGACGTGTTCCTCCCACCGTCCATGCCCATCACGGTGAGGGCAATGGTCTTGTTGAGAGCAAAAAGTGCATCTTGAGTACGTGTGTCAAGACCGTTC